TATGGGTTTTGGCGGGAAAACAGTCAAGTCGCAGTGTAGTAATATGAGTACTAGGAGAACTAATAATAGGCAAAATGAGGTAGATATTGGAAAGCCAGTGGCACAAATTGACAAGGACAGTAATAGGTTTAGTGGAATAACAGAAAGGAGCAGGAAGGGTAAAGAGAGAGGAGGGTCTTTAAATATATATTACACAAATAGTCGCAGTGCTAGGAATAAGATGGACGAGTTGAGACTAGTTGCTAGTGCAGGTAACATTGATGTATTTGCCTTAACTGAAACGTGGTTTAATTCAAAAAGTCGGGACATGCCTGCGGAATGTCACATTCAGGGTTTTAAAGTGTTCCAAGTAGATAGAAGTGTCGGGAAGGGGGGTGGGGTGGCATTGTATGTCCGAGATCGCTTGAACTGTTGCATAAAAACGGGTATTAAGTCTGAAGTAACACATACAGAGTCTGTTTGGATAGAATTTTCAGAGGGGCATGAAAAATTAATTTTAGGTGTGATATACTGTCCCCCAAACTTAGATAGGGACCAGGGGAGACTACTATGGGAGGAAATTGTTAGGGCCACAAGGCACGATAATGTAGTAATTCTAGGAGACTAACTTTAGTCATATTGATTGGAATTTCTTGACTGGGAATTTAGAATCATACGACTTCTTAGAAGTAGTTCAGGATTGTTTTTTGAAGCAGTTTGTGACAGAACCTACAAGGGGTAATAACCTGCTTGACTTAGTTCTGGCAAACAATGAATCCCTTGTTAATAATTTAGAAGTTTCAGAGGAACTGGGTGCAAGCGACCACAAATCAATTACATTTAGCATTGAGTGGAAGTATGATAGTAGGGATAACTCAGTAACAGTCCCAGATTTTCGCTTAGCAGATTACGATGGGCTTAGAGAACACTTATCATCTGTTGACTAGGGTAACGAAGAGAGCTATCAATATGACAGTTTTCTGAACACTATACATGAGGCTCAAAGAACGTTTATTCCGTATAAAGAAATTAGATCAAATAGAAATGACCCAAAATGGATGAATAATAGGCTGAAATATCTACTAGGGCATAAGAAAGGAATTTATAGGCGTATCAAAAGAGGTGAGTGTCATCTTATGAATCAGTATATTGACATTAAGAGGGACATTAAAAAGGGGATAAGAAAAGCTAAAAGGGACTATGAAATTAAAGTTGCTAGGGATTCTAAAACTAAACCAAAAAGTTTTTTCCAGGTATATAGAACAAAAGTCAGAGATAAGATAGGTCCCCTTAAAAATAACTATGGGCATCTTAGTGACAAAGAGAATGAAATGTGCTCGATTTTAAATAATTATTTTCTCTCGGTTTTTACGCAGGAAGACACTAATAACATTCCAGTAATTAATTTCTATAGTGGGCCAGAAGAAGAAAAATTATGTAACATCACAGTCACTAGTGAAATGGTTGTGAAGCAAATAGACCAACTGAAGCAAAATAAGTCACCGGGTCCTGATGAGGTTTTTTCAAGGTTCTTAAGGAATGCAAAATGGAACTCGTGAACCATTAACTAATATTTTTAATTTATCTCTTCAAACAGGTGTAGTGTCTGATATGTGGAAGATGGCTAATGTAATTCCTATTTTTAAAACAGGGGACAAGTCGTTACCGTCAAATTACCGCCCAATAAGCCTGACCTCAATTGTAGGCAAATTACTAGAGTCAATTATAGCTGAGATTATAAGAAGCCATCTCGATAAGCATAGCTTGATTAATGATACTCAGCATGGATTCACAAGAGGCCGGTCTTGTCTAACTAATTTATTAACTTTCTTCAGTAAAGAATTTGATATTATTTACTTAGATTTTAGTAAGGCTTTTGATGGAGTTCCGCACCAAAGACTGTTAAAGAAAGTGGCAGCTCATGGCATTGGGGGAAAAGTGCTCTTGTGGGTCGAGTCATGGCTCACAGACAGGAAGAAGAGTGTGTCCATAAATGGGGTTAAATCCGAGTGGGGATCTGTAACAAGTGGCGTTCCACAGGGATCAGTCTTGGGCCCGTTGTTGTTTATAATATATATCAATGATCTTGATGAGGGTGTTACTAGTGATATGAGCAAATTCGCCGATTACACAAAGATAGGTAGGATAATTGATTCAAACGTAGATGTTAGGGAACCTCAGGAGGATTTAGACAAACCCTACTCTTGGTCAGAAAAGTGGCAGATGCAGTTCAATGTAGATAAATGCAAGGTTCTGAAGCTCGGGAGTGTCCATAACCCTAGCACTTGTAAGTTAAATAATGTAGAACTTAGCCATACAGATTGCGAAAAGGACTTGGGGATTATGGTGAGCAGCAACCTTAAACCAAGACAGCAATGCCTAAGCGTACGTAATAAGGCAAATAGATTACTGGGATTTATATCAAGAAGTGTAAGCAACAGAAGTTCAGAGGTTATACTGCAGCTTTATACATCATTAGTAAGGCCTCACCTAGATTATGCAGCTCAATTCTGGTCTCCATATTACAGAATGGACATAAATTTGTTAGAAAACATTCAGCGCAGGATGACTAAATTAATACATAGCATTAGAAATCTTCCTTATGAAGAAAGATTGAAGACTCTTAAGTTACATTCACTTGTCAGACGAAGAATGAGGGGAGACCTGATTGAAGTGTATAAGTGGAAGATAGGTATTAATAAAGGGGATATTAACAAGGTCTTGAGGATATCTCTCCAAGAGAGAACCTGCAGTAATGGATTTAAATTAGATAAGTTTAGATTTAGAAAGGACATAGGAAAGTATTGGTTTGGAAATAGGGTAGTTGATGAGTGGAACAGTCTACCTAGTTGGGTTATTGAGGCTAGGACTTTGGGTAGTTTCAAATTTAGGTTGGATAAGTACATGAGTGGGAGGGGTTGGATTTGAGTGGGACTTGCACATCAGAGCTTATTTCTTGGGTAGCATTGAAAATTGGGTTGGTCAAATGTTTGTTAGTGGGATGAATTGTAAAGGACCTGCCTAGTATGGGTCAACAGGTCTGCTGCAGTGTTCCTCCTTTCTTATGTTCTTATAGACTGGTCACTGATATTAGTAGACATTCTTTATTTGTTCGCCGCCCCTGTTTGCTCCGTCCCTTCTCTCTTTGCCTACATTCACTCTTGCCTTCCCTTCAGTTACCACCTTTATATGTTCATGTAGCATCTCACTTTTCCCTACCCCCCTGGGAAGTTCCAGCTGTTTGGGTCTGTTCTTTCTCATTCCCTTGCTCGAAAGCCCAACTGCCTACGGTGGCTTCCCGCTCTCTTTTTCTTGACCACTTCCACTCTCATTCTCATGCCATCGCAGTGTACACAGATGGCCCTAAGTCTTCTGATGGCGTCAGATTCGCAGCAGTGTTTCCAGACAGCGTCGTGCGAGAGCATTTACTATCTTCGGCTAGCATTTTTACTGCTGAATTGTATGCCATTCTTGCAGCAATTATTCGTATTGCATCTATGCCTGTGTCATCATTCGTGGTTGTCTGAGACTCCCTTAGTGCTCTACAGGCTATACGGAAATTTGATACACCTCACTCCCTAGTTCTCCGTATCCAACTTTGGCTAAGCCGTATCTCTGCCAAGCATAAAGATATTGTTTTTTGTTGGGTCCCTGGTCATGTTGACATACAGGGCAATGAACAGGCAGACACTGCTGCACGGTCAGCAGTACATGACCTACCAATTTCATATAGAGTTGTTCCATTTCCGGACTATTTTGCTTTAATAGCTACCCTACTGTTGGCAACAACGTTGGTCATCCCTACTCGGTAACAAACTTCATTCTATTAAACCGAGCATAGGTTACTGGCCGCCTTCTTGTCATCAGTGCCGAGGTTGGGAGACTACTCTCTTCCGCCTTCGCATTGGCCACACTCGTCTTACTCATGGGTATCTCATGGAGAGGCACCCTGTTCCTCTCTGTGAGAAGTGTCAAGTTCCAGTATCGATTAGCCACATTCTGTTAGACTGCCCTCTCTATCGACGAGCACACAGAATTTACCTCCAACGTCATCTCCACTCTACTACTCTATCTTTACCTTCCCTTCTTGCTGATGGACCCTCCTTTAATCCCGACTCTCACTGACTTCTTGACAACGACTGATTTACTCCACAAACTCTGATGATGATACCTTTCACACTCCCCCCAGCCCTTTCTACCTCAATCTCTTGCTGCCCTCTACCCTTTCACCATCTACTGCCCCGCTGTTCTCCGTAACCTATTACTCATACATCTCCCTTTTACCACCTAATACCCTCGCTTCCTTTCGGCCCTGCAACGCTGTATAGCCCTTGTGGTTTAGCGCTTCTTTTTAATTATAATAATAATAATCTACAAAACTTTGCAACTCACTCCACTTTGCACACATGTCCTTAATCACTGAAGAAGGCACATTCTCTCCTCTCTCTTCCTCCTCCTCTGCTGCAATCTGTTGCTGTTCCAGTTGAACGTGTTGCAGCTCTTCCCTGTGGTCGTTCACCAACTCTTCCACATCCTGGCCACTTGCATCCAATCCCATGAACTTCCCCATAGGCAATAGATTCCACAACAGAAGTAGGGTCGTCAAGGTCAGCCTCAGCCTGAAACCCTTCAAAATCCTTCTCTTGGACACATTCTGGCCACAATTATTACAAAATGTTTCAACTGAATGGGTGGGGTGATGCTCACTCAACGATAAACAAAGGCAGACTGAGTCACTTGGTGCTTGAGTGGCTAAGTGACGTGGGCGGGCAGGCGGACGCGTTTGGTATGGACCACTGTCAACTCTACGAAAACCGAGGTGATGTACAAAAACTGGGACAAAATTTAGATGGAAAAAATCGTCGAAAACCAAATCCTACGAAAACTGGGGCATAAGAAAACTGAGGTTCCACTGTAACATGTGCAATAAACAAAATTTATCAAAAGTAAATACAGATGAAAGAGATAAAAATAAAAGTTAACAGTAATGACCAATAACAAAAAATGGCATATATACATACCATCTTCACCAGACCAGCCAGTAATTTCTGGAGCTGCTACATGTGCTTGGCCCCGATCATTATGAGCTTCTACTTTGATTTTGTATGGCTTGAATGTGGGTTGATTAGGTATAACATAATGATCCTGCTGCCAGTCCACAACATCTTCAGTCTGCCATTTGGCATTATCAATGTCATCACGCTTCCAGTACACACGATATTTGAATCCTGGACCATTGTGGTCAATTTCTGGCATGGGCTAGAGGAACAAAATGAAAATCTTGGGTAGGTATGAAGTAATCCTTTTGAAAGACATTTGGAAGCTTACATCTCCAAAGTAACAACTTATGCAAAATTATAACAGCCACAGAAAACAAAATGCCCTAATTAATTGTTTATATATAGATTAGTTTCCTAAGTACTTTGTCTATTACACTTAAAATGAATTTTTAGTATATTTTTGAATTTCTTGTGAGAAAAACAGATTCAAATTATCAAAATAAGATTCAAATGACCATTACTATACTTACCGACCACTTAATTACTAAGTTCTGAGGAGAAGAGCCTTTACCCTCAACCCCATCTGGATTTTTATAGGGAACATCTTGTGGCGTTGTGCACATCTCTGAGTGTTGAGAAGGTTGTGATGGACCAATAGAATTCTTTGCAATTACCCTAAAGGTGTAGTTTGCCCATGGACTTAAATTAATCTGAAATTTTACAATCTTATTTTACAATTTGAAATCTAGAAACAAGTACCTAACTTAATGAATGATATTTGTGAACAATAATAATTTTGCTGGTGACCAGTACATGTTAAAAAACACACTGAACATATCATACAAGTTTATACAAAACAAAAAATGCTCTATTAATTTTATGCTCACATTAAACCTGGTGCTGGTGGCAGGAACAGAGTCATAAGCATTCTCCCAGGTATCAGGTATGAAGCTTGTATTATACTGAATAACATAACCCAAGATAGGAGCTCGGTTGTCACCCATAGGCTGCCACTCAAAACTTGCATCACGATCATTGCAAATCACTGGTAACAGCAACTGGGGACGGTTTGGAACATCTGAAGAGTAACAGAATAAAAAGTCATTTGACAAACGATAGTTACAGAAAGATGCTTCAACATCAATAATAATAACTGTTGTGATACTCTATTTTTTTTAGTTATCAGTCACTTCTCATCTAAGAAGAGTAACTGTACATTATTTTTATTTTAATTTGGCTCATAGAGCTACAACCGAAATCTGGCTATCCGGTTCCTCCACAGTCCCTTCATAGATATTAGGGGGCAAAACTAGCTCTGAACCTGCTCCTGGTTTCATAAATTATCAATCAATTTTGCTAGTATCTGACTGCTATATACAGTACTTTTTAAGTAACTGTGGGCAGTAGACTGGTAGACAAACTTGTTAAATGCTTTACACTCTGACAGCACTGCTACTCTTTTTTGTTTGCCTCAAACATATCAGATGGCAGGCGAATCCTGCAACTAGTACTAACATCCAGTATACTCTACATGCTTACGAATGCATATGTACAGTGTGTATGCACTCGTCTAAGTTTTCTGAATTTGTAATAGTTCTTGCCCTTGTAAAATTTACTTTCAATTCTGTGGGGAAGTGGGTTAGAATCCTTCCTCCATATGTACTGCAACTAAAATGCAGGCATCAGGGGCTAAGAAAATTTTAAGGTTGGGTTATCACAAGTACAGCCTCTCCTCACTTAACGGAGTTCCGTTCCTTATACTACGTTGGTAAACGAATTCATCACTAAGTGAGAAGCATACTACAATGGTAATGGGTTTGTGTCTACCATCTTTGATATTTTTTTAATGTCACCTTTGCACCATGTGATGTAATTCAGCTGGGGAGACCTAATTATATGGTCACACCTGGCCTTGGCAAATGGATATCAGCCACGCCTTTTCGGCTTAAGTCTCAGCTCCTTTGTTCGTCACTGGCATCAGATCTCGGCGTCAGGTCGTAACACGTGATGCACACCCCATTGTGGAGGGTGCTTGGACCACCATATAAGCCCAAAGAACAGCATGATCGAGAGACTTCGAGCGGACCTGCTGCTGTGTGCAAAGCTCTGAGCAGAGCGACTTCGAGCAGAGCTGCTGCTGTGTGCAGAGCTCTGAGCAGGAGATTCAAGAGGAGCTGCTGCTGGGGTGCAGAGCTCGGGAGAAGACTGCTGAAGTCTATGGAGGAGACTGTTGGAAACATTGGGCAGAGTACTGGCTTGGAGCAGTACTCGTGCTGTGTAGGTCTTGGGACCTGTGGCTTAGTTCCTGTGGTGAACTGTCCTCTGAACTACATTGTAAGTTATATTCATTTTCGTCAAGTTGATTGGATTCCCTGTCTCACTGCTTATATATACCATCCCATTTATCTAAACACAATAATGTACTCCTGTTCCCAAATATATTATTGTACAAAGACTTAATAATAAACTGTGTTTGAGTAGAATAGTAATATTCACTGTCCCTGTTATTTACTTATTTATTCATTTATTTTTATTTCAATTAGTGAGAGAGTGAGTAGTGTGGTGGGTAGAGTAATGAGAGGTGAAGGTGTAGTCAACAGTGACCTGTCACAATACCTACCGCTCGCCGCTAATCACTCGACTCGGACTCTCCTGCCTTACTCCCCTTACTCCGTTATTCCCCGATTATCCGTACATTTCAATACCCCCCTACATGACAACCATTTATAACATTTCTGGTATATTTTAAAATGTTTATACAGTAGTATACTGTATATTGTAATAAACAGAATAGAGGAAATCAGTTCTAATATACATTGTTTAGGTATGCATACTGATCAGAGAGCCCGTCATAAGTACAAGTCGTTGGTAAACAAGTATGTCGCTATGTGAGGAGAGGCTGTATATCAAAAATATAGAAAGACAAGACAGGGTATAAGGATTTAAATTCAAGAATGATGAACACTAGAATATAACTGGGCTGCAAGAAACTGGTTCTGGAGGTGGGAAGTACAGTGCCTGCATTCTAAAGGAGGGATAGAGATAGTTGCTGTTTGGAGGGACATCTGATCAGTCATGTCTACATGCCTCTGGCAAGACAGTGATAGTGTGAATGATGGAGGGAGATGGTCAGTGTGTTAGTTTGTTTTTTAAAACACTGGCCATCTCCCACTGAGGTAGGGTGACTCGAAAAAGAAACATTTTCACACCACTGCCTTGCCAGTGGTGCACAGATACAAAGGTTCAAATGTCCCTCCAAACAGCAACTATCTCTATCCCTCCTTTAGAATGCAGACACTGTACTTTCCACCTCCAGGACCAATTTCTTGCATCCCAGTTATATTCTAATGTTCATCATTCTTGAATTTAAACCCTTATACCCTGTTGTGTCTTTCTATATCTTTGATATATACTTGTGATAACCCAACTTTAAAATTTTCTTAGACCCTTGATTCCTGTATTTTAGAGTGCAGACACTGTACTTTCCACTTTAAATCACCTAACTTTGGTGCACCAAATTACCTTGGACAATAAGTGTGGCTGAAGCTGTAACCTTATCTAGATCTGTTGAGGCAACACAAGTGTAAACCCCAGAATCCAATTCAGTAGTCTTTGTAATACTCAGGGAGAAATCAGACTGCTGCACAAATCGTGGTTCTTGCTCAAAATCAATAAGTTTGCCATCAGTAAGCCACTCAATACTGAGCTCCAGATCATTATCAGTTACAGCATTGCACCTGTGGAAGATAAAAAAAAAAATGCACATCAGCACTTCATGTTTATAAAAAAAAACAAGAACACAAAATAGAAACTATATTGATGGTAAAGCTAAAACACTATTTATAGGTTTAACATCCATACACAATGATCAGTATATGAAAGAAAGATCAATAATAAAATTTAAGCTTATACCAATAAAAGGATCTTGATCCAAGAAAGTGGACCTGACCTCCCCTGCTTTGAATCAAACTTGACTGCCTTTCATTCTCCATGAATTCAATAATAATAGCTTTAGCATGTGGTTTTTGAAAGTACTGTATGTAAATGAATAAATTACGACACAAAAACTTTCATTAAATCTAACACAAAATATAGCATACCTGAACGTAGCAGTTTGACCAGCAGGAACTTCATAATCTTGAGGTGAATCCGTTATCCGAGTGCGTTCCTTCACCACAAGCGATCCAGCTGCCCTCTGATGCCCAAATTTATTCTCCGCAAAACAAGTATAATCACCGGCATCCGTAAACGAAACATCTCTGGAGAGTTATTTAAAAGTATTTCAAGGATATATTTATATTAGAGTTGATTTACACTATAAATTAGTATTATTTACCCATTCTCTTCTAGCTAAGACTTTAGTAATGTCCCAGTTCAGACTTTTCTTATTTGAATACAACCCATTCTCATTTAAGTACAGGTACAACACAGATTGTCCAGCACCCTTGGCACCTAGGCTTTGCTGGTATATTAATTCTGCTGAACCAACAGAGGTCATCCTCGAAAAGGTTGGAGGGAGGGGGTAAAGGAGGTTTTGTGGGTGAGGGGCTTGGACTTCCAGCAAGCATGCATGAGTGTGTTAGATAGGAGTGAATGGACATGAATGGTATTTGGGACCTGATGAGCTGTTGGAGTGTGAACAGGGTAATATTTAGTGAAGGGATTCAGGGAAACTGGTTATTTTTATATAGCCAGACTTGAGTTCTGGCAATGGGAAGTACAATGCCTGCACTTTAAAGGAGGGGTTTGGGATATTGGTAGTTTGGAGGGATATGTTGTGTATCTTTATACGTATATGCTTCTAAACTGTTGTATTCTGAGCACCTCTGCAAAAACAGTGATTATGTGTGAGTGAGGTGAAAGTGTGAATGATGATGAAAGTATTTTCTTTTGGGGGGATTTTCCTTCTTTTTGGGTCACCCTGCCTCGGTGGGAGACGGCCGACTTGTTAAAAAAAAAAAAAAAAAATCTCTGACCTCCATAGTCTGCTGGAAACTTTAGTTAAACATTAAGAAAAATGAAATGGGTTTATTTATTACTGTACTTACAGTACATTACTGCTCCCAAAGTGGTAAATTTTAAAATTTTGCTGGAACCATAGCCACAAAAGTTGGGAAGTTGGGCATTGTCAGAATTACTGTTTGTTTAATAGTTGACTGTTTCATAATCGATCTATGATGTTACGGGGAGGTACTTGGGTTGAAGTCACAGGAATTTTGGATGAAGGGCTACTGCTATGACACATTCTTGTCTTACCTTTTTAAATAAAAGCCAAGTTGTTCAAATGCTTTGATCTTTCCTGTGTAACTTTTCATGAATCAAATACAAATTCATTACCTCATGTTCTGTCACAAAGGAACATAGTTCTAACCCTCTGATAAATTCACCAGTCAAAAAAAAAAAAAAAAAAAAAAAAAGGGGCACAATACTGTGACCGGAACAATAAAAAATAATCTACACATAGGAGAGAGAGGAACTTCTCTCTGCTATGTGTGGGTTATTTGTGTATTCACCTGACAAGTCAGGTTAACTTATCAATAGCCATAGCTGTTGACAAGTTACTTGTATAGCTATGAACTCTAGCCATAACCAGGGTTAATTGTTAGCAAAATCAAGGGATCACCACCAACTGCAATGTAAACAATGTAAGTGGGCATACACTATATACAATGCCAGATGTAGCTGCCCAGTAAACTAGTTTCATAATTTTATCCTGACTAAAAGAGGTGATGGACCATCCACTGCCGGTAAAGCTGTGTTGTACTGGTACATTAATTTTTTTATGTTATGCTCAACCAGTTTCTAAATATTTCTAGTTCATCCTCAAATACTGTTTTCTTTATTTTAAAATGTGTTAAGCTAATTAAGGTTAAGTTAGACTGAGTTGAGTTAGGTTTGGATAAAATTAGGTTACATAAATCAGGGAAAATGGTTAGGTAACCTTGAGTCCTGGAGGTGGGAAATACAGTGCCTACACTCTGGAGGGGTGAGGATGATGATGTTTGGTGGATCATCTGAAATGTAATGTCAGTGTGCTTCTGGCAAGACAGAGATTGAGCGAGTGATAGTGAAAGTGTTTTCTTCTTTATTGGGTCACCCTACCTTGGTGGGAGATGGCTGGCATAAGAATGGGTTGCTGTATACCATAACATTAATCACCTTAGAATTAATATGGGTAAAAAATATGCCTCAGCAACAATCTTTCATCTAACCCTCCAACCCCTACCATCTTTCCCATATATGATATTCCTGCACCTTCTCTGACATTCTCTAAATGTACCAACCCCAACTCCACTGAACCTCACATCAACTGTCAGTGGCATCAATTGTTTAGACAAAATAACAATCGTAAAAATAAAAGAAGCTACAGAAAAAGATTAATATTTATACTCTCACTTTTAACTATCAAACCTATGCCTAGAAGCCTATATAAAACAAATATTTTCAAATGGCTATATAGTAACCTCCATTAATCTGTAACCCTTATCTTTCAACCAGTGTCCACCAGTTTCTTTTCTAAATCTAAACTTTTTTTCAGTTTTCAATTGTTATGCAGGATTCTGCATTGCATTGTAATATATATATAGTGGAGGAGTGGCCATAATAGTATGAATGATGTTATAATTGTAAAGCCTAATTTTATAATTCATACTGTGCATTTAGAGGTACTGTAAAGTACTTTAACTGTAAATGTAAAGAAATCTTGCCGGGATATATTTTCCAATTTGTTTTGGTTAGTAGGTAAGCATGGCTTGGGAGAAGTCACGTGGAAGCAGCATGGAGAGAAGACTGGCATCTGAGACGCCATGCATTTAAGCTAAGTTTTGTAGTTTTGTACTCCTGTTTAGCCAGCTCAAGCCATAGGCTCTATTATTGTTTACCAGCACGTTCACCTGGGCTCTGATATGGACAGGGCTCTGTGGGATGAGCGAGGACTGATGAAATTGGACGAGATGGGAGTAGGGGACGGCATCTGCTAGGTCGACCCCATAGGTATGTGTGTGTCTTTGCTTTGCATTGACTCTCCAGCCACCGACTCTTTATGTACCTTTATTTGGGTATTTAGGCTAAGAGAAATGCTGGGGTGGCTTTTCTAGTGTGTGTATATGTTGTTAATGATAAATGTATATTTTTCTAACTAGGAATTTTGCCTAACCCTCTGATAACCAACCCACTTAAGTAATAAATGTGGGTTTAGCTCTTTCTGTTTTGACTAGGATAGCCCTGGGTGGCCTGTTTCTGCATGAGGTTCGAGTAACTTTTACCTTGGCCCTTAGACAAGGGCCATAGGCCCCAGGGAATCCCACTTTCTGCATAACAATCTAGTGTAAACTGTGGGGGACCCACAGCTTCAGAGAAGTAGATAAAAAATAAGCCTAAAAGGAAAATTATTTGAATTTCTTCCTGAAGCCATTTAAATGTATAACTCCCCTCCCCCCCCCCATCTTTTATTTTGCCGCTGGGTATATTTTATTAGGTAATAAGGTTTAAAGGATGCAATGACAGTACAGAGATTACTTATACAATACATCTATAATTTTTTTTTATTTCCAGGTTGACTCAGCAATACTAATATCCCCTTTAAACCTATTCATCAACTACAACAATGTCACCCTTTATTCTACATCTTTCGAAAACTTAAAAAAAAAAAAAAAAAATACATGATAATAACATAAGAGTACAAAATATTGGTAATCTGTGCATAGATATGGCCAAAAAATATTCTTTCCCAGGAAGAAATCCAGAATGATGGATCAGTGTTGTAAACTAAATGTGCAGTCTCTATAAGACACACTGGGAATCATTTCTTCAATGTTATACAAAAGTAAAGAGGAATGTGCTGGACAACACAGTAGACACTGATTAAACATGAGTTAAAACCAATATAAGACCCAATATTTTTTTAATACATCGGCAATTTCCCACCAAGGCAGGGTGACCCAAAAAGAAAGTAAAAGCTTTCATCATTATTCAACGCTTTCACCATCACTCACACATAATCACTGTTCTTTGCAGAAGTGCTCAGACATGACAGCTTAGACATCTCTCTCAAAGTGCAGGCATTGTAATTCCCATTTCCAGGACTCTAAGTCTGGCTAACCAGTTTCCTTGAATCCCTTCACAAAATATTACCCTGCTCACACTCCAACAGCTTGTCAGGTACCAAAAAACATTCGTCTCCATTCACTCCTAACACGCTCACGCATGCTTGCTGAAGTCCAAGCCCCTCACCCACAAAACCTCCTTTACCCCCCTCCCTCCAACCTTTTCAGGGATGACCCCTACCCCGCCTTCCTTTTCCTACAGATTATATGCTCTCCAAGTTATTCTACTTTCTTCCATCCTCTCCAAATGACCAAACCACATCAACAGCCCCTCCTAATTGCCACACTACAAATTCTCTCCATAATATTTATACCACACACTGCCCTTAAATATGACATCTCCAAAGCCTCCAGCCTCATCCTTCCTACAGCATTTACAACCCATGCTTCAGATCCACAGAAGAGTGTTGGTACCATTACACTCTCGTACATTCCCTTCTTTGCCACCAGGGATAACGTTCTTTGTCTCCACCGATACCTCAACGCACTACTCGCCTTTTCTCCTTCATCAATTCTATGGTTAACCTCATCCTTCATAAACCCATCTGCTGACAAGTCAACTACCAAATATCTGAAAGCATTCACTTCTTCCATACTCTCTCCCTCCAATGTGATATACAATTTTTCTTTATCTAAATCACTTGATACCCTCATCACCATACTCTTATCTATATTCACTTTCAACTTTCTACCTTTACACAAACTTCCAAATTCGTCCACTAACTTCTGCAACTTTTCTTTAGAATCCCCCAAAAGCACAGTATCATCAGCAAAACTCCCATTTTTGTATTTGATTCCCCATAATTTAATCCCACCCCTCTCCCCAACACCCTAGCATTTACTTCTTTTACAACCCCATAAATATGTTAAACAACCATGGTGACATTACACATCCTTGTCTAAGACCTACTTTTACTAGGAAGTAATCTCCATCTCTCCTACACACCCTAACCCAAGCCTCACTATTCTCATCTGCCCCACTGCTCCCCTATCCACTATCATATATGCCTTGTCTAAATCCATAAATGCAATGAAAACTTCCCTACCTTTATATACTGTTCACATATTTTTTTTTTTTAACAAGTCGGCCATCTCCCACCGAGGCAGGGTGACCCAAAAAGAAAGAAAATCCCCACAAAAGAAAATACTTTCATTTCATCATCACTGAACACCTTCACCTCACTCACACACAGTCAATGTTTTTGCAGAGGTGCTCAAAATACAACAGTTTAGAAGCATATACATATAAAGATACACAACATATCCCTCCAAACTGCCAATATCCCAAACCCCTCCTTTAAAGTGCAGGCACTGTACTTCCCATTTCCAGGACTCAAGTCCGGCTATATAAAAATAACCGGTTTCCCTGAATCCCTTCACTAAATATTATCCTGCTCACACTCCAACAGATCGTCAGGTCCCAAATACCATTCATCTCCATTCACTCCTATCTAACACGCTCATGCACACTTGCTGGAAGTCCAAGCCCCTCGCCCACAAAACCTCCATTACTCCCTCCCTCCAACCTTTGCGAGGACGACCCCTACCCCACCTTCCTTTCCCTACAGATTTATACGCTCTCCATGTCATTCTACTTTGATCCATTCTCTCTAAATGACGAAACCACCTCTTCAGCCCTCTGACTAATACTTTTATTAACTCCACACCTTCTCCTAATTTCCACACTCCGAATTTTCTGCATAATATTTACACCACAAATTGCCCTTAGACAGGACATCTCCACTGCCTCCAACCGCCTCCTCGCTGCAGCATTTACAATCCAAGCTTCACACCCATATAAGAGTGTTGGTACTACTATACCTCCATATACGTATAATGTTTTTTGTCTCCACATATACCTCAACGCATCACTCGCCTTTTTTCCTTCATCAATTCTATGATTAACCTCATCCTTCATAAATCTATCCACTGACACATCAACTCCCAAATATCTGAAAACATTCACTTTTTCCATACTACTCCTCCCTAATTTGATACCCTCATCACCTTACTCTTTTCTATGTTCACTTTCAACTTTCTACCTTTACACACACTCCCAAACTCATCCACTAACCTTTGCAATTTTTCTTTAGAATCTCCTTCCTTAGATCTAACTCTATTAGAAACCCATGACCTATTCCCATTACTCTCCTGGCTCCTTCAGCTTTGTTTCACTTAGAGCCAGGACATCCAGCTTCTTTTCATTCATAACATCCACAATCATCTCTATCATTCACACTACAGCCATGCATATTCAAACATACCACTTTGACGGTTTTCTTTTTCTTTTTAGTAGGCTATACGGGAAAAGGGGTTACTAGCCCATTGCTCCTGGCATTTTAGTTGACTTTTACAACATGCATGACTTATGGAGGAAACATTCTTATTCCACTTCCCCTAATTTATGGTGGTCAATTAAAAGTTGAAGGTTCAAGAGCTAAGAGCTCATCCCTTGAAAACTAAATTAAAACTAAACAATGTAATACCTAGCAAACTGTGAAAACATGAAATTCGTCTCTTCCTTTTTTCATACACTCAAAAAATTGTTTATCCTAAATCATTTTTTTCTGTATACAGTGTATTAATAAAAATCTAATAGAAAATAGATTACTATAATTTTACCCACATAAAATTATAATAAATAATACCAACTTGATCACAAGATCTCCATCATTAGTAACTTGGAAGCGTCCACCAGTCAGTTCAAGACCGTCTCTGATCCAAGTGATTCGTGGTTTTGGAGCACCAAATACTCGGCAGGTCATGTTAACTTGCTGTCCATCAACCGACTGGATGTTACTTGGTGGAACACGGATGTCAGGAGGCAATGCTGAGTGCGACAGTTTTGTTAAAAACCCTCAAACACAAAATATAAAATTAAAATGTTATGGCTTGCGTAATTTATAACCAGTAAGGGCATCATCTAAATTCCTACAAAAAAGAGAATACAAACTGGTGAAGAGAAATTAACTTGTTTAAAACTTTTGCATGAATAAGAGCTTACCTCTTTAACCCCAAATGCGAGAAATTAACACCATTAACCCTTTCATTCTCCAGACTCTTGATCTGAGAATTACTCTCAGTATCCAAGAATTCCCCCCCCCCCCAAACCTTATGAAATGATAGAGAATCTCTGTCTGAAGGTAATGAAACCAAAAGTACAAAAATTCATGGAAAATTCATGAAATTATGCTTTTGCGAATTTTGCCGTGTCAGCGATATTTACACACTGGCAATTTTGCCCACTTTGAGTTCTATTTTAGGCCAATTTCATTGTTCCAGTTGACCAAATTCTATTAGCTATTTTGCTAGTATGTCTTCCATTTTATTGAGTGAACATTAGAAACTGCCCAATCAACTATTTCAATTATCCAATAAAATTATCAGAAATTGGTAACTTGGCCAATTTCATACAAATTTCAAAATATTCCAATTGCAAAACAGGGTCCAGAATAAACAATGCAGGCATTCCTAGCACTAAAATAGCATTTCCTATGTTCATTAGTTATGTTCCCAGGCTTTACACATGAATTCCATTTTGTTATGCAATATTGTAATAATTGTAGTACAAATAATATCAGTGTACTGTACTCGATGAGCGATGTGATTTGTTTCCTCTTGAATATTGCCAAAAATCTAACTTTTCTGCTAATTTGAGCTCAATTTCAAGCCATTTTCCATCCTGAAATCAATCAAAATCATCTCTGTTTCTGTAATATATCTTTGATTCTATCAAACGAGATCAAGAAACTGAGAATAGGGCCATAAAAACTATACAATAATACACCGCAAAATCACTGTTTTAAACCAAAAACGCGATCGAAGTTTTTTTTCTCATTATGCACTGCGTGCTGCAGGATTTTTTTTATATGGTGCCACCCTTTACTGCATAGACCCATTTTCTCATCTCAAGGTCCAAATTTACCACACAGCTTATCTAAGCGAGCTGAGCTCATGGCATAGTACTATGGCACTGACATTGACCTTAAACCCATAGTACTACAACACAGATGGCGAAGTGTTTAACCCCTTGACTGTCACCCCCCCCCCCCCCCAATTATTTTTTTCTTATGAAATGATGGAAAATATTTTCCCAATTGTAATGACATCAAAACAATGAAATCTGATGGAAAACTGACAGAATTACGCTCTCGTGAAGTTAGCGACCTCAGAGATATTTACGAATCCGCAATTTTGCCTACTTTGAACTCTATTTTTGGCTAAATCCATTATTCCAGTCGACCAAACTCATAGCTATTTCTTTAGAACTCCATTTGTTCTATCGATTGAGTACAAGAAACTGCCCATTTACCAATTTCAACTACCCAATAACGTGGTAAAAAATTTGCAATTTGGCTAATTTCACGCCAATTAAAAAATATGCCAATTACAAAATAGCATCCAGAATGAACAATGCAGACATTCCTGGCTCAAAAATAACATTTTCTTTGTTCATCAGTCATGTCTCCAGGCCCCTCTGATATTACTCTTGCTTTCTATTTTGAATTTTTATTCAAACAAAAAATAGAAGATTTACTGTTATGCAGACTACTGCAATATTGTAATAATTGTACAAATAATGTCAGTTCATTCATGGCTGCATATTATAATGGCTACTTGAACATTATTGGACAATGACATCATTTGTTTACTTTTGAACATCAGCAAAAATCAAACATTTCCCCTACTTTGAGCTCCATTTCAAGATTCTTTTCATAGTAAAACCAATCAAAATCGCCTTTATTTCTATAATATGTTTTCCATTCTATCAAATGAGACCAAGAAAATGAGAATATAACCATAAATACAATACGAAAATACACCACAAAGTTGGTGTTTTAATCCAAAAAAACGGTCAGTTTTTTTCTCATTATGCACCGAGTGCCTACCAGCTTTCTCCTGCTTGATTTGAAGCCGCTAGAATTTATGAGTACATGTATATATACATCAAACACGGTGGCTCGTAAGACGTATATATACGACCGAAACAGTCAAAGGGTTAAGATTCCTCTAATTACACTGAATTTCAAAAGTACAGAGGTACCTCGGGATATGAACAGCTCAAAACTCGAACATTTATTTAAGTGCATTTATGTAAGTGCTTTTGTAAATGTATTTTTGGTAGTCTGAAACAGATTAATCTGATTTACATTATTCCTTATGGGAACAAATTCATTTGGTATCGGCAATTGAACAGCCTTCTGGAACAAAAAAGTTTGTATCCTGAGGTACCACTGTACTTTAGAAACTCCTTAGTGCTGAATGACTTAGGTTTAGAGCTATCCTTAAATAAAATAATAGAAACTCCTCTCGCATTCATTAAATTAGGATAAAAATTTAACACCAAGAGCCTGGTTTTACAATAGTAAAAGCAGGCTATTGGTATGAGACAGAAATTCTACTTGTACATAAAAAAATCATCCATTGATACTGGTGGTCTGATTATCTGCGTACCTTCCAGCATTAAATATGTTATAAAAATGACAGGAACATATACATAGTGTGTATTACATATTGCAAAAATTTACATTTCAGGCTATCTAATAAGAGAAGCAAGGTCTATATTTTACACTTGATACACACAAAGGGTAGGTTGAATTAAGGTAGCTATCTGCTCAAATATACAGCTATTTAACCTTTAAAACTGTCCAAACGTAGATCTACGTTTGCACGCATAGCGCTCCGAACGTAGATCTATGTTTACATTGTTTCTTATGGAGAAAATTAAGGTCGGAGCGCTACGTGCACAAACGTAGATCTACGTTTGGACAGTTTAAGGGTTAAAGAACAGTAATAAATAATAGCTACATTTTAGCACTTTCATTGACTGTGCTATAGCACTACACCTTTGAGATCACTGGCTGTGGTGTAGTACTATGTGATGAGCTCAGCTCACTCATGTAAGCTGTGAGCAGTAAATTTGGGCCTAGATATGAGAGAATGGGTCGATGTACGATGTAGTAAGTATGCACCACATAAAAAATCCTGCAGCACGCAATGCATGAGAAAAAACTGCAACAGTGCTTTTGGTTTACAATAGCAACTTTGTGGTGTATTTTTCATATGGTTTTTATGGTTGTATTCTCGGTTTCTTGGTCTCAAACTGATAGAATAAAAGATATATTACAGAAACAGAATGATTTTGACTGGTTTTAGGATTGTAAATAGCTTGAAATAGAGCTCAGAATAGCAGAAATGTTAAATTTTTGCAGATGTTCAAGAGTAAACAAATCACACCATGCGTCCAATACACATCAACTGGTGGGTCTAATATGCATTCAAAAATACACTGATATTATTTATACACTTACTACAATATTGTATAACAGTAAATTTTCTGTTTTTCATGTGAATAAAAATTCTTTGTGAATAAAATATCAAAATGGAGTTCATGCGTAAAACCTGGAAACATAACTAGTGAACAGAAGAAATGTTATTTTAGTGCCAAGAATGCCTGCCTTGTTTATTCTGGACCCTATTTTTAAATTAGAATATTTTGAAATTTGTGTGAAACTGGCCAAATTACCAATTTCTGATCACTTTATTAGGTAGCTGAAATAGTTGATTGGCAATTTCTTGTGCTCAATCAATAAAATGGAAGACATACTTGTAAAATTGCTAAGAATTTGGTCAGCAGGAGCAATGTAAATAGCCTAAAATAGAACTCGAAGTGAGCAAAATCGCTGATGCGTAAATATCACTGACATAGCAAAATTCATAAAAATGCAATTTTGTGAATTTTCAATGAAAATTTGTACTTCTTTTTTACTACCTTCAGGAAAAGATTCTCTACCATTTCATAAGAAAAAGTAACAATAATTTTTTTGAAAATTCTTAGACACTGCGAACAAGTTTCAAATCAGGGGTCTGGACAGTGAAAGGGCTAAGGAAAATATGGAGTTTAAGTTTGAAAATGTTAAAACATTTCTCATGGTAATGCAGTTTTGAAAATGAGAAGAAAATTTATAAAGTACAGGTACTTCAACTTTTACCAACATAATACCACCAGTAAAAATTAAAACATGTACAACTTACCAAGTACATTGACATATACGTCCTTGTAAACATATCCATGTTCATTTGAAGCATTACAACCATAATTTCCTGTATCAGCCTTGGTCAGGTTATAAATGGTAATCTTATTACGCTCTACAATACGGCGAGGATTTGGGGGTGCTTTTTCAATAGGCATGCCATTGTAAATCCAATACTGCTTAGGGGGAGGCTTGCCAGCAGATTCACAGTAAAATACTGCTGTTTCTCCTTCAGCCTTGTTTTCCACCTCAGGTTCTTTCTCAAAGTATGGGATTGCTGAAAGAGAAACAGGTGAATTAATTATGTAAGTAAATAACAAAAAGACACAATACCATGACTGGAACAATGCACAAATAACCCATTCATAGGAAAGGGGAGCTTTTGTCGACATTTTAGTCCGACTTGGACCATTTACAAAATCACACTAACTAAAAGGAGAGAAGGAGGGAGTATATACATGTATATAGGCCACCATACAGGGATGGGACAAGAGGAGGAAGAGGTAGAAGAGGAGGAGGAGGAGGAGGAAGGTAGAGGAGGAGGTAGAGGAGCAGGCAGAGGCAGAGGCAGAGGCAGCGGTAGTAGTAGTAGTAGTCAATGGAAGACTAAGAAAGAGGAGCACTGTAAGGGAACTAGGGGCCCACAAACGGTAGGAACAGAAACACAGAGGGAAAAGTAATAATAATGGGCCAAACACCCACGGCAGAAGAAAGAAAACCCAAAGGAGAGAGAGGAAAGAGGAAAGGGGAAGAGGGAGAAGGAAAAAAAGAATCAGGTTAAGTCACGGGTGTTCTGAAGTTTGGAGCACTTTACAATGTAATGGGAAAGGAAGGTATCTACAGAGACAAAGCCAGGACTATGATTCATACAAGGAAAGTTGTGTATAAAGGAGGATTCAACCAGATGTCAACTGTGAAAGTAGGGTAGACAGTTTTAGCAGAAGACCAGTCAATAGGATGACTGTGATCTCTGACATGACAGAAAAGATCATCATTGGTGTCGGCAAGCCTAACACCACTTTTGTGCTCCCTGAGTCTGTCAGAAAGAGAATGGCCAGTTTCTCCAAAGTACTGAAGAGGACAAGAGGAACAGGAAATAAGAGCAGACACCTGGAGCATCAATACAGGGAGGAGAGGTATGAACTAGACTGGTGCAAAGAGTGTTAGTCTGACGAAAAGAAAGTTTGATGTCTAAGGAACGGAAGAGAGTTGTTGAGATTAGAAAGACTGGAAATATAGGGAAGCAGAGGACAGGAGAGTTCCCAGGAGTAGAGTGTCTGGGAGAGAAGAAAATCCGTTTAGTACATGTGAAGGAAGTCTACAAAATGGGAAGTACCCTTCCCAAGATGATGAGTGGAAATTTCTGATTCAAGGAACTGAGGATCACAAATACAGAGAGCACAAAGAAAGAGAGAAATAAGAACACTTCTACTACCTCTATTACTACCTCTCTTCTTACTTTCCTACTACCTTTCTTGTCCCATCCTTGTCTGCTGGCCTATATATACTCCCTCCTCTCCTTTCTGTTAGTGTGACTTTGTAAATGGTCCAAGCTGGACCGAAACATCATTGTAAGCTCCCCTCTCCTATGTGCAGGTTATTTGTGTATGATAAGTAAACAAAAATTATAAAGGATGCTAATCCATTCGAAATTTTTATAGTCCTATTTCATGTCTGGCTATTAAGATCTCTTAGTTCACAAAGTACTGTACAGTACAAAATATAAAAAAGAAAAAAGTTCATCAGTGTTCCAATTATTTTCAAATATCTTGAGAATCAGTGATCACTAACAGTATCTTTGGTCTGATTGAATGGCCAATAGATTGTTTTTAATCAAACTGCAAATGCATACTTACCAACCTCCTACCCATCTCTTACATGGTCATCTTATGGAGAGAGACCCTGAGCATCTCTGTAAGAATTACCAAGTCAAACCCCCTTTTCATTGATTGATCTATTTATCAAAAACCATACAAATTATTTCTGACTCTTTAATGCCCTGAGTGCCTCACTGGATGCTCCCTCTTCAAAGTTGCACCTTCAATCTCTACACTTTCAACTTCTTATTCCTTCAGGGAAGGTGTCTTATTGCCACTGAAGGGCTCTTTATCCAAGCTCCTTCCTTGGATTAAATCTGATTTCCTCTCATTCCCCAGATGCAGTACTCACTTACTGGACTGCAGGGATCAATTCTTAGATTATGACCCCTATGGGTTCAGTGCTCCTAATGAATGTAATAAGACTTCTCCCCTGATACTGATTTATTATGCAAACTTTGATTTTTGTTTTTAACAGATGACCCCACCCTTTACACTACTATCCCGATATCCACAGTCCTCCGCCATGTAGCGCTATATGACTTACACTACTGTAGCTATAATAATAATAATTGTTAATGCTCATGTAAAAAAAAAATGAGGAATAACTACTTCATATACTATATATGCTTCACATTATGTACAGTATACCTATTTAACAAACTAATTTGAAACAAACTCTATCCTATTTTCTACCTCCACAAACTATGGTAGTAGGTTGGTAGACAGCAACCATTCGAAGAGGTACTACCGACCTACCAAGCGAGCGTAAAAAGGAAGTCTGTATTTGTTTTACATGATAATAGGATTAGTGGTGTCTTTTTTCTGTCTCATAAACATGTAAGAAGTTCAGGTACATCTTGCTACTTCTACTTACACTTAGGTCACAATACACATACATGTACATGTTTATTGTATACACACTCATTTGAGTTTTCTTTGATTTTATCTTAATAGTTCTTGTTCTTATTGCTTTTCTTTTCATATCCATGGGGAAGTGGAATAAGAATCTTTCCTCCATAAGCCATGAGTGTTGTAAAAGCCAACTAAAATGTCGGGAACAATGAGCTATTGCTAATAACCCCTTTTCCCGAATAGCCTACTAAAAAGAAAAAGAAGAAAACCGCCAAAGTGGGATGTTAGAATGTGGGTGGATGTTGTGCGAATGATAGAGAGATGATTGTGGATGTTATGAATGAGAAGAAGTTGGATCTCCTGGCTTTAAGTGAAACAAAGCTGAAATAATGAAATAAATGGGATTAGGTCAGGGGTTTCAAATAGAGTTAGAGCTAAAGAAGGAGTAGCAATAATGTTGAAGGATTAGTTATGGCAGAAAAAGAGGGAATATAAATCTATAAATTCAAGGATTATGTGGTGTAAAATAAGGGTTGGACGTGAAAAGCGAGTTATAGTAAGCGTTTATGCACCTGGAGAAGAGAGAGAGATTTTGGGAAATGTTGAGTGAGTGCATTGGGAGTTTCGAACCAAGTGAGACAGTACTTGTGGTTGGGGATCTCAATGCTAAAGTGGGTAAAAATGTGTTGGAGGGAGTAGTAGGTAAACTTGGGGTGCCAGGGGTAAATGAAAATGAAGAGCCTTAAATTGAGCTATGTGTACAAAGAGGTTTGGTAATAAATAATACATATTTTATGAAAAAGAGGATAAAAAAATATACAAGGTATGTTATAACACGTAATGAAAGTACAGTGGACCCCCGGCTTACGATATTATTTCATTCCAGAAGTATGTTCAGGTGCCATTACTGAACGAATTTGTTCCCAAGGAATATTGTGAATTAGATTAGTCCATTTCAGACCCCCAAACATGTACAAATGCACTTACATAAATACACTTACATAATTGGTCGCATTGGGAGCTGATCGTAAAGCGGGGGTCCACTGTAGTTTGTTAGTTTATGTATTGGTGGATAAAAGGTTGATGGGTAGGCTTCAGGATGTACATGTTTATAGAGGGGCAACTGATATATCAGATCATTATTTAGTTGTAGCCACAATTAGAGTAACAGGTAGATGGGACAAAAGGAAAATGGCAACAGCAAGTAAGAGAAAGGTGAAGATGTATAAACTAAGGGAGGATAAAGTTAGGGTGAGATATAAACAACTACTGGCAGAAAGGTGGGACAGTTCAAGTATGAGTAGTGGGGGGGTGAAAAGGGTTGGAATAAGTTTTAAAAATGCAATATTAGAATGTGGGGCAGAAGTCTGTGGCTATAGGAGGGTGGGTGCAGGAGAAAAGAAAAGTGATTGGTGGAATGATGAAGTAAAGGGTGTGATAAAAGGGAAAAAGTTAGCTTATGAGAGGTTTTTACAAAGCAGAAGTGTTATAAGATGAGCAGAGTATATGGAGAGTAAAAGAAAGGTGAAGAGAGTAGTGAGTGTGTACAAAAGGAGAGCAGATGAAAGAGTGGGAGAGGCACTGTCAAGAAATTTTGCAGAAAATAAGAAAAAAATCTGGAGTGAGATAAACAAGTTAAAAAAGCCTAGGGAAAGAATGGATTTGTCAGTTAAAAACAGAGTAGGGGAGTTAGTTGATGGGGAGCTGGAGGTTTTGGGTAGATGGCGAGAATATTTTGAGGAACTTTTAAATGTTGACGAAGAAAGGGAAACGGTAATTCCATGCACTGGCCAGGGAGGTATACCATCTTTTAGGAATGAAGAACAGAATGTGAGTGTGGGGGAGGTGCGTGAGGCATTACATAGAATGAAATGGGGGTAAAGCAGCTGGAACTGACGGGATCATGACAGAAATGTTAAAAGTTTTTTTTTTTTTTTTTTTTTTTTTTTTGGGGGGGGGGGGGGTTAGTGGAGGGTTGGAGGGATATGTTGTCTCTCTTTATACATATATGCTTCTAAACTGTTTTGTTCTGAGCACCTCTGCAAAAAACAGTGATTATGTGTGAGTGAGGTGAAAGTGTTGAATGATGATGAAAGTATTTTCTTTTTGGGTCACCCTGCCTCGGTGGGAGACGGCCAACTTGTTAAAAAAAAAAAAAGTGAAGTGTGCCATAAAAGTATGAATGTTATAATTGTAAAGCTTAATTTTTTAATTCATATTGTGCATTTGGGGGTACTGTAAAGTATTTTAAACTCTAAATGTAAGAAAATCCTGCAAGGGATTTATTTTCCAGCTGTGTCTGGTTAACGGGTAAACGTGGGTGGCGTGGCTTGGGGGAGTCACATGGAGGCAGCATGGAGTGAAGGCTGGTGTCTGGGACACTGTGTATTTAAGCTAAGTTTTGTAGTTGTATACTCCTTTTGTTTAGCTAACTCAAGCCATAGGCTCTTCTATGGTTCACTGGTATGCTTACCTAGGCTCTGATATGGTCAGGGTTCTGTGGGATGAGTGAGGACATAAGAGGAAATGGGGTCGGTAGTGGAGTAGGGAAGGCCGGGCTAAGTGTTTATGGTTTGCTGGACTCGCCAGCCACCTGCTCCTTGTGTACCGTTATTTGGGCGTTTAGGATGTTTTTCTAGAGTGTATATAGTGTTATTCCTAATAAATGTATTTTCCTAGCTAGGAATTTTGACTAACCCTCTGATAACCAACCCATTGAAGTAATAAATACTGGTTTAGCACTTTCTGTTTTGACTGGGATAACCTGGGTGGCCTAGATTCACTTGAGATGTGTGCAACTTTTACCACTGCTCTTAGATAAGGCCTTGGCTCCCAGGCAATCCCACTTTCTGCATAACAATGTAACAAGCATTGTTACAGGAAGAAAATTAAATTTAACAGCACTCTTTCAATGGTTGAAATTTAGGTGCATAAACCAGTATCAATTTCAAAACTATATTTCTTAACAAATTATTAATGTGAACTTACCACAATTTGTAATTTACAGTTAAAAACCATCACAGGACAATAACAAGGTAGACTACTGGGACTGAGATGAAATGCCATAATACAGTCTAAATAAATGTGTGTTTGAAACAGAGGGCTTACCTTGGACTACAACATTCATTGAATAGGACTTGGCCACACCTACACCATTACTCGCCTCACATTCATAACTGCCTTCATCTTCAAAGTCCACATAGCGAATTACAAGTGTCTTGCCGTAGTTCTCGTAATCAATTCGATCTTGTGGAAGTGGCGCTAGCTGAGAATTATTGCGTTTTGTCCAACGCATTTCAGGAAGAGGTCTGTGAAGCATAAAAGCCTATTAGTATGTCAAGGTACAGAAGTAAATTAATTACAATAGCCCTTCAAGTAATGGGTGGGTTACAGTACTGCAAATTGGCACTTTATTCAAATTAACGTTAAATAAAGTTAAAAAACATGAGAAAAATAGGGTCATATTCCTTAAACCTCCAAAATAGGCAAACTTTTTTTTTTTTTTTTTTTTGAAAACAAAAAATAATTAACCTTTAAACTAGGAAACTTACGTCCCACTGAAGATGCACCAGAGGCGTAATGTTTTGCCTTTCAATATGTTTGTGTTCTTGCGAGATTTGAACTGTTCTCTTGGTTCATTTTTAGTCTGGACAGCCGTGCTACCACTCTGGTATACACGGAGGTACACCCGATTACCCAACTTGTACTCATTGCGGAATGTTGAAGTTGCAGAACAAGCATAAGTGAAGTCGTTGGATTCATCGAAGCGAGTGACATTTGAGAACCAGAGTGTGCCTTCAGGGTCAACAGTCATTCGTGAAGAGTTGATGCTACGCAGAGCACCTCTGTCATCCTGGTAAATAAAAGGTAAAAAATTTAAATATAATTCATTAAATACTGTACCTCAACGTTATGTTACACTTGAATGTATTTTATATACTACTCAGTTAAGTGTGGTATATAGCTGAAGAGGGCTAAGTGCTTACAAAGAAAGTCTACTCCCTACAGTCAAATCAAAATACTATAAGCAAACTTTTCCATATTCAGAATTGTTTTCCTGAGTTTCTCTAGCCACCTAGGCATTTGCTTTAACCCTTTGACTGTCGCAAGTCCCTTTCTAAAACTGTCATTCTATGTCGAAAAATTTTTGAGAAAAAAAAAAAAAATTCTTATGAAACGACAGAGAATCTTTTCCCAATGGTAATAACACCAAAAGTACGAAATTTGGTCGAAAATCACAGAATTACGCTCCCGCGAAGTTAGTGGTCAATTTTTTTTCTCATTATGCACTGCGTGCTGCAGGATTTTTTTATGAGGTGCACACTGACCACACAGACCCTCACATGTGGGCCTACCAGCTTTCTCCTGCTTGATTTGGAGCCACTAGAATTATTGAGTATATATACATCCGAAACACTGGCTCGTAAGACGTATATATACGACTAAAAAGGTCAAAAGGTTAAATTATAACTTCCTCAAGGGAAGTTTCTTGATGTCCATGAGGGGATCTTGATCCAAGGAAGATGATTCACCAACATCCTGGTCTACAACCAAGCTGTCTTGAATTGTGTAGATTTTGCAAGCATTCTCCTTAGCAGTCTTTTAAAGTTTTTTTTACTCCAATTTAATCCTTTTGTGGTAGTTTGTAATGCTGTTAAGGCACTGCAAACTCTCTGTGCATAGGTGAAGACAATACAAATGTACAATAGTAGGTATAAATATTTTAATATTTTGCATCTAAAAGTAAATCATTCAAAGCTAAGGCTGCTCTTCATACAAACATTAACTGTAGAGATCTGCACAAATAGGCTCCAAATAAACAGACTAATTGGCAGAATATTATATACATACAGTGGGCCCCCCGGTATTCGATGGCATCGGTATTCGATAAATCCGGTATTCAATGCATTATATCGCAAAAAATTTTCTTCGGTATTCAACTGAAAACCCGGTATTCGATACGATTCGTACGAGACCTGTCCATGTGTGGCCAGAACTGCTCCGTGTTTGCCAGTGTTTACAAGCCAGCCAGTGTGCGCGCATCTAAGGATACATTCGGTACATTCCATATTATCCATATTATCACTGTGTTTGGTGCTTGTTCCTGCAAAATAAGTCACCATGGGCCCCAAGAAAGCTTCTAGTGCCAACCCTGTGGTAAAAAGGGTGAGAATTAGTATGGAAATTAAGAAAGATTTTGAAGGGTTTGGGGCTAACCCTGAGAAGCCTATGCCAGTTGTGGAATCCATTGTGTCTACTTCAAAAATTAAGGAAATGTGTGCACAGTGGGTTGAAGTGCAAACCTTTATGGATGAAAATCACCCTAACACAGCTATTGCAAGCCGTGCTGGTGGCTATTACAATGACAATGTTGTGGCCCATTTTAGACAAATCATAAAGGAACGGGAGGTACAGAGCTCTATGGACAGATTTGTTGTGCGACAGAGGTCCAGTGACTCTCAAGCTGGTCCTAGTGGCATTAAAAGAAGAAGGGAAGTAACCCCGGAAAAGAACTTGCTACCTCAAGTCCTAATGGAAGGGGATTCCCCTTCTAAACACTAACACCTCTCCCCTCCTCCCATCCCATCAATCATCACCAGATCTTCACTAAAGGTAAGTGTCAATTATTTTATTGTTATTGTAATCATTCTATTGCATTAAACTTAATATTTCATGTAGTAAAAATTTTTTTTTTTTCATACTTTTGGGTGTCTTGCATGGATTAATTTGATTTCCATTATTTCTTATGAGGAAAATTGATTCGGTTTTCGATATTATCGGTATTCGATGAGCTCTCAGGAACGGATTAATATCGAATACCAAGGGTCCACTGTATGTGAATTTATATTTAGCAATTATTTTCTTACCTGAATCATCCAGTAAACATAGGGTTTGGGATAACCATCTGGAGGCTGGCAGGCCAATCCAACAGGGTCGCCCTCATTTACAGTTTCTGTCAATGGATCTTCATTCTTAAAGCTATTCAACTCTGATTTGCGAACAAACACAGAGTTGGATGTGGCTGTCCCCATTTCGTTGGTGGCAAAACACTGATACTGACCTAAAAAGGGATTATATTATTTTAAAAAATTTAAAGTTCATACAGAGCACAAAATCAAGTTACAACAGATTATTTGTAATATTTTGGTTTTGCAGGACTTGGCAACCCCTATTTAAATACTTTCATTATACAGTGGTCCCTCGCTTTTCATAGTTCTCGGCAATCGTAAATTTCGCCAATCATAGGGGTATTTTCGAATAAACATGGACTCGCTTTTCATAGGTTGACTCACGAGTCGTAGTTCGTCCGGGACGCGTACCCACGGCGGCAGCCAGTCTGGCATTGTTTACCAGTGAGCGAAGGTCCCCTCACGTGCTCCAGCGAAATATTTCATAATATTCCATTTATTTTAGTGCTTGCAAGTACTAAATAAGCTACCATGGCTCCAAAGAAAGCTCCTAGTGCCAAGCCTGTGGTAAAGAAGGTGAGAAATACGACTGAATTTAAGAAAACCATCATTGAACAATATGAAAGTGGTACAAGTACATTCACCTCCTCCATACTCTCTCCCTCCAATCTGATATCCAATCTTTCATCACCTAATCTTTTTGTTATCCTCATAACCTTACTCTTTCCTGTATTCACTTTCAATTTTCTTCTTTTGCACACCCTACCAAATTCATCCACCAATCTCTGCAACTTCTCTTCAGAATCTCCCAAGAGCACAGTGTCATCAGCAAAGAGCAACTGTGACAACTCCCACTTTGTGTGATTCTTTATCTTTTAACTCCACGCCTCTTGCCAAGACCCTCGCATTTACTTCTCTTACAACCCCATCTATAAATATATTAAACAACCACGGTGACATCACACATCCTTGTCTAAGGCCTACTTTTACTGGGAAATAATTTCCCTCTTTCCTACACACTCTAACTTGAGCCTCACTATCCTCGTAAAAACTCTTCACTGCTTTCAGTAACCTACCTCCTACACCATACACCTGCAACATCTGCCACATTGCCCCCCTATCCACCCTGTCATACACCTTTTCCAAATCCATAAATGCCACAAAGACCTCTTTAGCCTTATCTAAATACTGTTCACTTATATGTTTCACTGTAAACACCTGGTCCACACACCCCCTACCTTTCCTAAAGCCTCCTTGTTCATCTGCTATCCTATTCTCCGTCTTACTCTTAATTCTTTCAATAATAACTCTACCATACACTTTGCCAGGTATACTCAACAGACTTATCCCCCTATAATTTGTGCACTCTCTTTTATCCCCTTTCCCTTTATACAAAGGAACTATGCATGCTCTCTGCCAATCCCTAGGTACCTTACCCTCTTCCATACATTTATTAAATAATTGCACCAACCACTCCAAAACTATATCCCCACCTGCTTTTAACATTTCTATCTTTATCCCATCAATCCTGGCTGCCTTACCCCCTTTCATTTTACCTACTGCCTCACGAACTTCCCCCACACTCACAACTGGCTCTTCCTCACTCCTACAAGATGTTGTTCCTCCTTGCCCTATACACGAAATCATAGCTTCCCTATCTTCATCAACATTTAACAATTCCTCAAAATATTCCCTCCATCTTCCCAATACCTCTAACTCTCCATTTAATAACTCTCCTCTCCTATTTTTAACTGACAAATCCATTTGTTCTCTAGGCTTTCTTAACTTGTTAATCTCACTCCAAAACTTTTTCTTATTTTCAACAAAATTTGTTGATAACATCTCACCCACTCTCTCATTTGCTCTCTTTTTACATTGCTTCACCACTCTCTTAACCTTTCTCTTTTTCTCCATATACTCTTCCCTCCTTGCATCACTTCTACTTTGTAAAAACTTCTCATATGCTAACTTTTTCTCCCTTATTACTCTCTTCACATCATCATTCCACCAATCGCTCCTCTTCCCTCCTGCACCCACTTTCCTGTAACCACAAACTTCTGCTGAACACTCTAACACTACATTTTTAAACCTACCCCCATACCTCTTCGACCCCATTGCCTATGCTCTCATTAGCCCATCTATCCTCCAATAGCTGTTTATATCTTACCCTAACTGCCTCCTCTTTTAGTTTATAAACCTTCACCTCTCTCTTCCCTGATGCTTCTATTCTCCTTGTATCCCATCTACCTTTTACTCTCAGTGTAGCTACAACTAGAAAGTGATCTGATATATCTGTGGCCCCTCTATAAACATGTACATCCTGAAGTCTACTCAACAGTCTTTTATCTACCAATACATAATCCAACAAACTACTGTCATTTTCCCTACATCATATCTTGTATACTTATTTATCCTCTTTTTCTTAAAATATGTATTACCTATAACTAAACCCCTTTCTATACAAAGTTCAATCAAAGGGCTCCCATTATCATTTACACCTGGCACCCCAAACTTACCTACCACACCCTCTCTAAAAGTTTCTCCTACTTTAGCATTCAGGTCCCCTACCACAATTACTCTCTCACTTGGTTCAAAGGCTCCTATACATTCACTTAACATCTCCCAAAATCTCTCTCTCTCCTCTGCATTCCTCTCTTCTCCAGGTGCATACACGCTTATTATGACCCACTTCTCGCATCCAACCTTTACTTTAATCCACATAATTCTTGAATTTACACATTCATATTCTCTTTTCTCCTTCCATAACTGATCATTCAACATTACTGCTATCCCTTCCTTTGCTCTAACTCTCTCAGATACTCCAGATTTAATCCCATTTATTTCCCCCCACCGAAACTCCCCTACCCCCTTCAGCTTTGTTTCGCTTAGGGCCAGGACATCCAACTTCTTTTCATTCATAACATCAGCAATCATCTGTTTCTTGTCATCCGCACTACATCCACGCACATTTAAGCATCCCAGTTTTATAAAGTTTTTCTTCTTCTCTTTTTTAGTAAATGTCTACAGGAGAAGGGGTTACTAGCCCATTGTTCCCAGCATTTTAGTCGCCTCATACGACACGCATGGCTTACGGAGGAAAGATTCTTTTCCACTTCCCCATGGACAATAGAAGAAATAAAGAGGAACAAGAGCTATTTAGAAAAAGGAGAAAAACCTAGATGTATGTATATATATATGCATGTGCGTGTCTGTGAAGTGTGACCAAAGTGTAAGTAGGAGTAGCAAGATATCCCTGTTATCTAGCGTGTTTATGAGACAGAAAAAGAAACCAGCAATCCTACCATCATGCAAAACCGTTACAGGTTTCTGTTTCACAGTCATCTGGCAGGACGGTAGTACTTCCCTGGGTGGTTGCTGTCTACCAAACTACCAACTACTGAAAAATATGTGCATGAATTCCAGGAGTACATTGAGGCTGAAGGACTGAAACCTGAACAAGTGTTCAATTGTGACGAAACAGGCCTCTTTTGGAAGAAAATGCCAAAGAGGACCTTCATTACACAAGAGGAAAAGGTAATGAAAGGACACAAGCCTATGAAAGACAGGCTGATGCTAATGTTCTGTGCTAATGCTAGTGGGGATTTCAAAGTGAAGCCATTACTAGTGTACCATTCTGAAAATCCCAGAGTGTTCAGGAAAAACAATGTTATGAAGAGTAAATTGTGTGTGTTTTGGAAATCTAATAGTAAGGCATGGGTCACGAGGGAAATTTTCCTCGAGTGGTTCAATGAAGTGTTTGGCCCTAGTGTGAAGAATTACCTCCTGGAAAAGAAATTGGATCTCAAGTGCCTGCTAGTAATGGACAATGCACCTGCTCATCCTCCAAACTTGGATGACCTAATTTTCGAGGAGTTTGGGTTCATCACAGTAAAGTTCTTGCCCCCGAATACCACTCCTCTCCTCCAGCCCATGGACCAGCAGGTCATTGCAAACTTTAAAAAACTCTACACAAAAGCAATGTTACACAGGTGCTTGACTGTGACCACAGACACTCACTTGACCCTAAGGGAATTTGGGAGAGAACACTTCAGCATCCCCCATTACATAACCCTTATAGGTATGGCTTGGGAGGGAGTGACTACCAGGACTTTGAACTATGCCTGGAGAAAATTGTGGCCAGATTGTGTCGACAAGAGGGATTTTGAAGGGTTTGGGACTGACCCTGATGAGCCTATGTCTGTTGTAAAATCAATTGTGGCACTGGGGAGTTCCATGGGGTTGGATGTGAGTTTGGAGGATGTGGAAGACCACAATGAAGAGCTCACCACTGAGGAGCTGCAAGAGCTTCAGCAGGAAGAGCAACAGATCACAGCTCAGAATCTTGCTGCAGAGGAGGAGGAAGATAGATGGAAGAAGGTGCCTTCTTCAGAAATTAAAGAGATTTTTACTATGTGGGGTAAGATGGAAAGCTTTATGGAGAAACATCACCCTAACAAGGTTGTTGCAAGCCATGTTGGCAACATGTACAGTGACAAAGTCTTGGGCCATTTTAGGGAAGTGTTAAAGAGACGCCAGAAACGGAGCTCTCTCCACAGTTATTTTGCGAGACAGGACTCCAGTGACTCTCAAGGTGGTCCTAGTGGCATTAAGAAACAGAGAAGACAAGCAACCCCAGAAAAGCAATTGGTACCTGAGGTGCTGCTGGAAGGGGATTCCCCTTCCAAACTATAAACAATCCACTCTCTCTCCTCCTCCAGTCTCCCATACACTAAGAAGAATCTCCAATAAAGGTAAGTGTTATGCTGTTAATGTTTCATTCATCATTTCCCATTGTACTGTTTATGTACTACATGTATATTTCATGTAAGAAAATTTTTGTTTTAATACTTCTGGGTGTCAGGAACGGATTAATTGTATCTACATTATTTCTTATGGGGAAAATTGATTCGCAAATCGTAAATTTCATTTATAGTAGCTCCTCCAGGAACGGATTAATTACGAAAAACGAGGGACCACTATACTATTTGAAACAAACTGCTATCTGCAAATTATTTTTGAATCTCTAAACACAAATGCACAACATGCATTATACATACCCAAATCCTCATCCCTGGGTGAAGTGATAACCAAAGTGCCTCTGCCTGGCTGCTGTGAGATACGATTGTCGTATGTCTGCCAGTCAAAATCTTTGCCGTTTTTAACCCACCGATACCTGAAAAATATAATTAAATTTAAGAAAACTATTTATAACATACACAATGTACACAAAGCATACAGAAATTCTTTGAATAAATTTATCTACATATACACAGTACTGTGAGGAAAAAGTTCAATATAGGAGTAGGGAAGTATGAATGTATGGTGATGGTTGTTTGTTGGCAGTCTACTAGTTAAGGCACGTGGAGTGTTTAGCTCCCGCTCTTCCCCTCCCCCCTTTTTACCCAGTGGGAGGTGATGTGTGAATCTCCAACCAGTGGAGAAATCGCTTGACTTACTGCTTCCCTCAAACCTGTAAGTACGTGTTCCGCTCCTGTATCATTTAGTTTTGTCTTAATAAGAGCTTCACTCTCATTTAGGGCTGTACACTTGTGTTTATTCCTGCCTTGCTTTGAATTTGCAATAAATTTTTTTATTCCTCACCGTTTCTTTTAACCCTTTCAGGGTTTCAGACGTACTAGTACGGTTTATGCTCCAGGGTTTTTGACGTATTAGTACACCTAAATTCTAGCGCCCTCAAATCTAATGAGAGAAATTTGGTAGGCCTACATATGAAAGAATGGGTCTATGTGGTCAGTGTGTGCAGTATAAAAAAAATCCTGCAGCACACGGTACGTAATGAGAAAAAAAAAACTTTGACCGTGTTTTTCGATTAAAACAGCGACTTGGCACTGTATTTTCGTATGGTATTTATTGTTGTATTCTAGTTTTCCTGGTCTCATTTTATAGAATGGAAGACATATTACATAAATTGAGATGATTTTGACTGGTTTTACATTGAAAAGTACCTTGAAATTGAGCTCAAAGTAGCAGAAAAGTTTGATTTTTACCAAAGTTCAAAAGTAAACAAATCATGCTAAGCGTCCAATACACATCAACTGGTGAGTCTAATATTCTTTCACAAGTGCGGCAATATTATTTATACCATTTCTACACTAATGCAGTAGTCTGCAAAATGAAAAATGCAAAAATGGAACTCTGTGAACCATTAACTAATATTTTTAATTTATCTCTTCAAACAGGTGTAGTGTCTGATATGTGGAAGATGGCTAATGTAATTCCTATTTTTAAAACAGGGGACAAGTCGTTACCGTCAAATTACCGCCCAATAAGCCTGACCTCAATTGTAGGCAAATTACTAGAGTCAATTACAGCTGAGATTATAAGAAGCCATCTCGATAAGCATAGCTTGATTAATGATACTCAGCATGGATTCACTAGAGGCCGGTCTTGTCTAACTAATTTATTAACTTTTTTCAGTAAAGCTTTTGAGGCTGTTGACCACGATAAAGAATTTGATATTATTTACTTAGATTTTAGTAAGGCTTTTGATAGAGTTTCGCACCAAAGACTGTTAAAGAAAGTGGCAGCTCATGGCATTGGGAGAAAAGTGCTCTCATGGATCGAGTCATGGCTCACAGACAGGAAGCAGAGTGTGTCCATAAATGGGGTTAAATCCGAGTGGGGATCTGTAACAAGTGGAGTTCCACAGGGATCAGTCTTGGGCCCCGTTGTTGTTTATAATATATATCAATAATCTTGATGAGAGAATTACTAGTGATATGAGCAAATTTGCCGATGACACAAAGATAGGTAGGATAATTGATTCAAACATAGATGTTAGGGAACTTCAGGAGGATTTAAACAAACTCTATTCTTGGTCAGAAAAGTGGCAGATGCAGTTCAATATAGATAAATGAAGCTCGGGAGTGTCCATAACCCTAGCACTTATAAGTTAAATGATGTAGAACTTAGCCATACAGATTGCGAAAAGGACTTGGGGGTTATGGTGAGCAGCAACCTTAAACCAAGACAGCAATGCCTAAGCATACGTAATAAGGTAAATAGATTACTGGGATTTATATCAAGAAGTGTAAGCAACAGAAGTCCAGAGGTCATACTGCAGCTTTATATATCATTAGTAAGGCCTCACCTAGATTATGCAGCTCAATTCTGGTCTCCATATTACAGAATGGACATAAATTCGTTAGAAAACATTCAGCGTAGGATGACTAAATTAATACATAGCATTAGAAATCTTCCTTATGAAGAAAGATTGAAGACTCTTAAGTTACATTCACTTGTTAGACGAAGAATGAGGGGAGACCTGATCGAAGTGTATAAGTGGAAGATAGGTATTAATAAAGGGGATATTAATAAGGTCTTGAGGATATCTCTCCAAGAGAGAACCCGCAGTAATGGATTTAAATTAGATAAGTTTAGATTTAGAAAAGACATAGGAAAGTATTGGTTTGGAAATAGGGTAGTTGATGAGTGGAACAGTCTACCTAGTTGGGTTACTGAGGCTAGGACTTTGGGTAGTTTCAAATTTAGGTTGGATAAATACATGAGTGGGAGGGGTTGGATTTGAGTGGGACTTGCACATCAGAGCTTATTTCTTGGGTAGCATTGAAAATTGGGTTGTTCAAATGTTTTGTTAGTGGGATGAATTGTAAAGGACCTGCCTAGTATGGGCCAACAGTCCTGCTGCAGTGTTCCTCCTTTCTTATGTTTTGCATAACAGTAAATCTTCTATTTTTTGTGAGAATAAAAATTCAAAGTGGAAAGCAAAAGAATGTAAGAGGGGCATGGGGACGTGACTAATGAACAGAGGAAATGTTATTTTAATGCCAGAAATGTCTTTCTTGTTTATTCTGGACCCTATTTAGAAATTGGCATCTTTTGTGTAAAATGGGCAAAATTGCTAAAGTCTGACCACTGTACTGGATAGTTGAAATCAGTAAATGGGTGGTTTCTTGTACTCATTCGATAGAAAAAATGGAGTTGTAGTGAAATAGTTATGATTTTCTTCGACTGGTACACTGGAATTGGCCGAAAATAGGGCTCAAAGTGGGCAAAATCGCTGATGTGTAAACATCGTCGAGACCGCTAACTTCGCGAGAGCATAATTCCGTAAGTTTTCCATCAAATTTCATACTTTTGTGTCATTATGATCGGGAAAAGATTCTCTATCATTGTATAAGAATTTTTTTTTTTTTTTTTTTTTAAATTTGGGCGACCCTGAGAACAAGTCTGGGAGAGGACCTGGGGACCCTGAAAGGGTTAAAGGCTGTAACTATTTACAGGTACCATCCGACTTACGACCGAGCTTGGTTCCGACCAACCGGTTGTAAGTCAAAATGGACGTAAGTTGAACCTTACTACTGAATATCAACATCACATTTTTGTAATGACTATTTATTGTTTTATTTTGGTATTTCGTTTTGTACTTTACTTTTTTTGTTGTTAGTACTGTATTTTATACTGTAAGATTTAGGATAAACACTGTGTACAACACAAACAGTTGTTTATTTCCCAGAAATTTGGCATACAAAACACAGTCGTAAGTCGAGTGGTCGTATATCGAGCAGGTCGTAAGTCAGATGGTAGGTGTATTTCTTAATTGTAGCCTTGAGTTGTCGGTGTGGGTCATCTGACATGGGCGAGGTGAAGATAAAGACAGCAGGGATCTGGCAAAGATCTACTGAATATAACTAGCCTAACAATCTTATGATCCAACTGCACCCTTTTACACTTAACCGATCACCCTAGCCAGTTACACACCCAGTGTAACTACATGTCTTGTCGGGCTACTCTGTCAGTAGTGATACTGATTCCCTATGTGATATATTTGTGTAGTTATCCCCAGCTATGTTACACTAGCTTCCCTGTCCAGCTATACCAGTCACTGGATCCCTACATTAAGACCGTTAGTGACTCACTGTTGACCTAGCATGATGCCACAAAATCTCTGGGCACTGAGGAGCCAGTTGAACCCAGGACAGTGTAGAGTGAGGTCAGGCTCTGGTGCTCCACATACCCATCTTAATATACGCTACCTAGACATCCATCGAGTGTATTCATTCTCCACTTCTATCACCACCGAACCTGTTACGACAACTCAACACTGTGGTAATCAGAGGATAAGTTCACCTTGGCAGAATTGTACTGTGGAAACCGTGGTTTGAGTCACGAACAGCAGTGACCTCCCCCCCCCTTTTCTCTTCAACAATGGCATCGAGTTCCAACACTCCTCAAAGCTCAGTGTTAACAATGTCGGCATAACACCATTCGACACTTACTGTGTATAAATTAGCTTTGAAATCACGTATTATTTATATATTTCTTTTTCATTTTTCTTTCAAGTAGGATTAATTCTCATGTTTAATTGTTTTACATTTTTTGCATCAATTCTTATAATAAAATGTTTATCTTTGTATGTTATTATTATATTTTCCATTATTATTTTTCCTAAGGAGGAGCCAACCTTGTTAAATACTTGCTTAAGATCTGACAGGGTTGAGTAAACCTTCACAAATATATACATATATATAAACAAAAGTGATGACTTTTTTTTTCCTCTTGATTATTATGTATACAACAAGGCTTTCAGTTTTAGCTCAATGCTTTCTAATCAGAGACTGTGATCCAGTGCTGACCCATTGAATTACATTATCAACTACCACAGTTTCAGAGTGAAGACACTACTTTCTAACTATCAAAAACCCAGGTCCAGTCAGCTAGTCAATTCTCCAATTTTCTTCTGCTAAAACAACTTTCTATTAATACTAATAAAGTACATTTCTGAACTTACACACTGCCCAGTAAATATACAAAAATATCTTTGATACACAAATTCCACTACCACTAATTCTAGATACATGTACATAGCTTAGTTCAAACTGTACACAGAAAAATACACAATTCATGTTAGAGAAGCAACATGAAAAACTTTTAAAATATTCTAGGGGCAATGCTACAATGCGTCCTCTCAGGCATTCCGCAGGAAGGAAATGACATGTCTATAGCCACATAAACATCAAACTGGTGGCTAAAGCTCCCGCTTCACACACGGAGGGCCCGGGTTCGATTCCTGGTGGGTGGAAACATTTCGACACATTTCTTTACACCTGTTGTCCTGTTCACCTAGCAGCAAATAGGTACCTGGGTGTTAGTCGACTGGTGTGGGTCGCATCCTGGGGGACAAGATTAAGGACCCCAATGAAAATAAGTTAGACAGTCCTCGATGACGCACTGACTTTCTTGGGTTATCCTGGGTGGCTAACCCTCCGGGGTTAAAAATCCGAACGAAATCTTATCTTATCTTATCTTACCATACAGAGAGCAGATATTTTTATCATCAGGCAGCAGAAAAATAATGTCAAGAAATGTTAAGAACATATCACCCTCTGGGAGCCATATTGGACTGGAAATAAAGCCCATGGCAGATTCATCATAGCCACATAGTCAAAAATTGCCCCCTAGCTTAACAACAAGCAATATACCATCACATTCCTCTTCTGTTCTACTGAGTAATTTGAGGTAGTTTTATAATCAATTCTAACTTTTAATTCATAAATTTTTCAAAGAATAACTGAAATTTGTCCAACATTTTTTGGTTTATTGTGATGATCTTCCTTTTCCTAACACACTGAAGCATTTTTTATTTATGTGTGTAGGTATTTCAGTTTTATTTTATATAGTAGGCAAATTACTCTGACATAGCACAGTGGTACCCTGAGTTTCGTACAGCTCCCAACTCGAACAATTATGCAAGTGTATTATTGTAAGTGCTTTTGTAAGTGTATTTTGGGGGTCTGAAATGGACTAATCCAATTTACATTATTCCTTATGGGAACAAATTTGTTCAGTAACGCCACTTGAACAGCCTTCTGGAACAAATTATGTAAGAAACTCGGGGTACCATTGTACTTGCATATCTAAACACATTTGTCTTTATCCATGACAGCATTTCTTTTTTTTACTGTGAAGTGTTCTGAGTTTTTCTGTCTTATCTTTACCTATATTTTTGTGCTGGTGTTACTTCTATCATGTTAGTGAATCACTACTTTGCATCACTGTTTCCATCTCATCTTTGCTGTTCTGCACATGTGATTTTACCCTGATACACAAATAACCCGCACATAGAAGAGAGGAGCTTACGACGATGTTTCGGTCCGACTTGGACCATTTACAAAGTCACACTAACGAGAAGTAGAGCAGGTTTGTGTGACTTTGTAAATGGTCCAAATCGGACCGAAACGTCGTCGTAAGTTCCTCTCTTCTATGTGCAGGTTATTTGTGTATCATTCCAGTCACGGTATTGTGCCTTTTTTTTTTGTGTGTGATTCTACCCTGATCGGTATCTACATTTTCCCAATTTTCATACATTTCTGGGAAGCTCTCCAAGAAAGACTTTCAGCAATCCCAGTTAGTGCAATTCAATACATGTTATACCTGCCCAAAGCTTTATTTTTTCTCCCACATATCAAATAACCTTTCCCTTGCTCAGCAGTAATATGAACAGAAGTGCTAGTTCCATCACAGATAACATGATAGTGTACCTGTATGTCTTGCACTATACACCACTTGTGGTACTTCTGCTGGCAATAATATAACAAACAAGCACTTACACATGTCAAACCAGTGAAAAAGCACGTACTTTGGAGCAGGCTCGCCTTCAGCCTCACACTCAATGATAAAGGGCTTGTCGTTTTCATCCAGCCTGGAGGCAACTTGGAAGAGGAGCTCCTCGTTAGAGGGTGGCTGCTTCGTCATCATGGGTGGATGCTTGATGACTGCCTCGCAGGCAGCACCCACTAGTACCAGCACCAGCGCTGCTTTCATCACACCCATGCCTGATAACCGCGTTTCTAACATCTTGCCTCACCCCCACACAGCCTGAAACAACAATAAAAAAGTTTATCATTAAAAAAAACTCAGTGCTAGCAATAATAATTATAAAAATTATAAAATATTAATTTATTTCATTATACAGTACATACATACAGCGCAATAATTATGCACAGTATTTCAGGCAAACTTGGACTAAGACTACTTAACACTAAAAATAGGGATGGATCAATATTGATGTTCATTTTGAGGCAGATACCAATATCATCAAAATCAGATGATACCCAGAGGATCTAATAATAAGGTATAGTACTGACAGTTAAAAATAATACAGTGGTTAAGATACAACTTGAAAGACTGACTAAAATTTTAAAATTCAATTAATAAATTGGAAAATTTTGAATAATAGTTTATGAAATCACAATAAATAATTAGTTTACAATTAAGAGATTGTTTAGTAATTATACTAAAAGTTCAACAAGGACCAATTTCAGTAATTCCAACATGGAAAAATACAGACATTAAAACTGGAACAGAGTATAAGACAAAACTCAAACCACTTAACAGGGCAAAACAGTAACACGAGATGAATCAGAGTGATAATATCAGATTTCACTTTCAAGGATCACAACAGTGTAATATTGTAATTATCACAATCGCAAGGAAAGTGATAGAGTGGATAACCAGATCCTTCAAAATGAGATGCCAAGCCAATGGTGACTATCATTGTCACTCATTCTCTCTAGACTGGAATACTATAGTACTCTTTTTAACCCTTAAACTGTCCAAACAGATCTACGTTCACATGCGTAGTGCTCCAAAAGTAGATCTATGTTTTTTTACAAATTTTCAAATATAACAAAAAAAAAAGTAGATCAAATTTTTTTTTAAACATTTTCAAATGTAAAAAAAAAAAAAAAAATGTGGTCTATGTTTTTTTACATACTTTCAAATGTTGAAAAAGCGTAGATCTACATTTGGACAGTTTAAGGGTTAAAATCCACCTCATTATCTTTGCAATAACATTCAACTGCTGGGCAAAAATCATTTGCAAACTAATCTTCAAAAAACTATCTCATTGCCCAGGCTTTCTTATTTGACCTGCATATAACAGGAAGAGCATTTTTTGATAAGGATTTAAGAGCCCTTGGATTTTTCACTCTGTACACCAGCATAGGCTTTAATTTAAAACCATCAGATGCATTCCCACCCAATAAAAGCATTAAATGGCCTTCGGAGATTTTATATCCTGGCTGTGATGATTCTTTTCTCGCCAAATAAGTGTGTGTTGGCATCATCTTCTAAAACAAACCAGCTTCACCAATGTTAAAAATTTGCTCGTCTTTGTAGCCATTTTCTTCAATCAATTTTTTTTTAGAACATTAGGAAATCTTGCAGCTGTCTCATTGTCTGCACTGGCACTTTGACCAGCAATTCAAACATTGTGGAGTCCCATATGCTTGCTCAAGTTGTAAAACCTACCTCAATTTGCCAAAAAAATTTCCTCTTCACTGACACTAAATAGAGACTTGTTGCTTTAGCTTGAATCATCATCTGACTTAATGGATTTCTTTTCTGGCTGCAGTCTTCAATCCATAACATTAAAAGACATTCCATATTATCCATTTCAGAACTACAAATTTTAACAATATGTATAAGATTCTGTAGCCATTCCATGTCTTTATATTTTATCTTTATTCCTTACATGTACACGTACCAATGCTTTACCTTTGATATACCTTTGAAGAATTTCGAGGGTATACCTACTCTCTGAGCCCGGCCATGGGCCAGGCTCGTCTGGTGCTCGCCTGGTCAACCAGGCTGTTGCTGCTGGAGGCCCGCTGCCCCACATAGCCATCACAGCCTGGTTGATCTGGCACCTGGTGAAGATACTTGTCTAGTTTCCTCTTGAAGGCTTCAACACTTGTTCCAGCAATGTTTCTGATATCTTCTGGTAAGATGCTGAAAAGTCTGGGACCCCGGATGTTGATACAGTGTTCCCTTATTGTCCCCACCGCACCCCTGCTCCTCACTGGGTTTATTTTACACTTCCTCCCATATTTCTCACTCCAGTATGTTGTTATGGCAGTGTGCAGTTCTGGGACCAAGCCCTCGAGTACCTTCCAGGTATATATTATCATGTACCTCTCTCTCCTCCGCTCCAATGAGTACATGTTCAAGACTTGCAGGTGTTCCCAGTAGTTTAGGTGCTTTACTGGTTCAATGTGAGCAGTAAACGATCTCTGTATTTGTTCCAGCTCCAATATTTCTCCTGCCCTGAACGCGGCCATCAGCACTGAGCAATATTCTAAATGAGGGAGCACTAGCGATTTGAAGAGTGTCACCATCGGCACTGTTTCCTTTGTTTTGAAAGTTCTCAATACCTACCCAGTCATCTTCCTGGCTGTCGTGATCTTTGTCTTGTTGTGATCTTTAAAAGAAAGGTCCGCTGACATAATTGTTCCTAGGTCTTTTACGTGTTCCTTACGTTCTATTTGGTGGCCCTCTTGAGTTTTGTATACAGTGCTCCTTTTGAGTTCTTCATTCTTTCCATACCTAAGCAGCTGGAACTTATCACCATTGAACGTCATGTTGTTTTCCACTGCCCACTGGAAAACCCCGTTTATGTCTTCCTGTATTTTTTCAGTGTCCTCTACCGTACTGACTTTCATGCTTATTTTAGTGTCATCTGCAAATTATGATACAAAAGTGTGCCGGGTGTTTTTGTCTATGTCTGCTATGAGGATGAGAAACAGCAGAGGTGCCAGGGCAGTGTCTTGGGGCACTGAGCTTTCGACCTCGCTGATGCTGGATCTTGCCCTGTTCACTACTACTTTTTGTGTTGTGTGTGTTAGAAAACCGAAAAACCATCTGCCTACCTTCCCCGTAATGCCCATGGCCTTCATTTTGTGAGCTATCACTCCATGATCGCATTTGTCAAACGCCTTTGCAAAATCTGTGTAAATCACATCTGCGTTTTGGTCGCCTTCCAGTGCCTCCATAATTCTGTCATAATGATTCAGAAGCTGTGATATGCATGATCGTCCTGCTCTAAAACCATGCTGGTTCGGGTTATGTTGGTTGTGCTGGTCCATGAAATTTGTAACCTGCCGTCTCATCACTCTTTCGAAGATTTTTATGATGCGAGAGGTTACGGCTACTGGTCTGTAATTTTTGGCTAGTGCTCTACTGCCTCCCTTGTGCAAAGGAGCTATGTCTGCACTCTTTAAGGCCTCCGGTATTTCACCTAGATCTAAGCTCTTTCTCCAAAGAATACTGAGGGCTCGTGCTAGTGGTACTTTGCACTTCTTTATAAATAGAGCATTCCGAGAATCTGGTCCAGGTGCTGAGTTAGTGGGCATGTTTTCCATTTCTTTTTTGAAATCTATGGGATTTGTACTAATGTCAGTTGGTCTGTGCGGCCTTCTTCTGGAATGAAAAATATTTCTGCATTTTCTACCTTGCTGTCATTTAGTGGGTTGCTGAACACTGACTCATATTGTTCTTTTAGGATTTCACTCATTTCCTGTTCATCATAAGTATACGAGTCTCCTCTCAGTAGTGGTCCAATTCTACAGGTAGTTCTTAGCTTGGATTTTGTGTAGGAATAGAAATACATGTATTTTGGGTTTCTTGCAATATCCTGTATGGCCTTTTGTTCCCTTTGTACTTCTTCTGTGAGGTATGACATCCTAAGTTTTTGCTCTAATTCAGTGATCTCTCTGCTAAGTCTATCTTTCCTCTGTTGTAGCATATTTGTGTTTTTAATGAGCTTTGCTCATTTTCTTGTCATGTGCTTTTAGCATACAATGCACCATCTTCATGTTTTACCATTTCTAGTTTTTCATCTAATATTAGCCATTTACTAGAACTCTCAGCATCATTGCATTTCCTCTTTCCATTCATATTTGTGTACAAAAGGGTACCAGTACTTTATTTAATAAAGAAAAAAATTGTATATGTATGTACTGTACAATGTACATATGTACTGTATGTACATTGTACATATGTACATTGTACATACAGTACATACGTATGTACTTAAAGTATGTATGTCTCAGTAGTACCAGTTCCTAGTAACCAGTTACCAGTAACCAGTGTACCAGTAGATGACTCACTACCAACCGTCTCTGCGTGAATCACTGTCTGTATTCATATTGCTGCTGACCACAGCAGTATTTCAAACACCCCCTCACATATGGGTACTGGGGTTAGTCAGTCTTACGAGTGAGAGCAAGGAGGCAGGTCACGGCTGTTTGGCGCTTCCCACACTATCCGTAATATACGTACTACCAGCCTACGTGAGTATTTCTTTACCCTATCCACGTGTTCGAACCCCACATGATAAATGGTGGTAGTATACCTGCCATCTCTAGTTTGTATTAGTTGTATGTCGGGACAACATACGTTAGCGTCACCGAGCTCTCAGTAGTACCAGTTCCTAGTAACCAGTTACCAGTAACCAGTGTACCAGTAGATGACTCACTACCAACCGTCTCTGCGTGAATCACTGTCTGTATTCATATTGCTGCTGACCACAGCAGTATTTCAAACACCCCCTCACATATGGGTACTGGGGTTAGTCAGTCTTACGAGTGAGAGCAAGGAGGCAGGTCACGGCTGTTTGGCGCTTCCCACACTATCCGTAATATATGTACTACCAGCCTACGTGAGTATTTCTTTACCCTATCCACGTGTTCGAACCCCACATGATATATGTACATACAGTACATATGTACTGTATGTACATAAAGAAGTCTAGATTGATACTGATATTCACATTGTGCCATTCCGGTACATAACAGCAGTCCAATATCAGTGCATAGTGCAGTTAAATCAAATTTATGTCATTAAATTTATAAACCGTATTATATCAAAACTCATACTGTTCAAAACCGTCCTATGCAAGGTATTCCTGTATAAAGTGATGAACCATCACTTCATATCAAACATGTGTGGTGTATATCTAAAAGGTAGCTTTAATGGAGACTGATAACTCAGCAAGACACCCACACACCCCCTTCCCCTCATGCCCACTCTCTTTCTCA